CAAAATTCTGTTAAATCATTACCCAACGACTGAAAAATATTTTTTTTTTCATTTATTTTGGTTAAACAGTATTTAAATTCAAAACATTCATTAAATAATCATTTTCATGTGAGGGTCAATGAACATATTTATGGGGGCTTATATTATGTTGAAAATAAGTTATGCGAGAAAGATTTATAAATTCTTAAGTGACTTAGAAAACATAACACACGAGTGGTATACAATGTTTTATCCAACAAGAGTAAGAAATCGTTTTTTATGAGATAATAATTAATAAGCTTTGTAATTAAATCAAAGCTACTTGCGTCTCAGTACCGTATAAATGTCATAATGACTTGACAGTGACTTTTTTACATTTTGGTCAAAGTAGGTTGTTTGTTTGGTTGCCACGGGCATGATACATTGTTAGCAAATGTTTAAATAAATTTTGACACTTGTCAGTTTTCCCTGCAGAAAAGGAAAGCTTTTTTAAAGAAAAAAACGTATAGAAAATGGAGTAAACCGATGAAAATTACGTTCCTGAGGATATCCTTACGAAAGCGGAAGAAGCAGCGATGCAGATTTTGCCAGAAAAGTCCCGAGATGGTTACGACAAGGAGTTCAAAATGTTTAAGTCTTGGATGAATTCACGGAAGATAAAAGGTATCAATAAAAATGTTCTATGGGCTTATTTTTAACATTTGCAAAAAAATTTGCGCTATGGACCAAATACTCGATGCTTCGCTCGACTATTCACCTTTATAAAAAAACGACATTTCAAAATATGGCAAACTAATGAGCTTTTTGAAAAGCAAATCACAGGGATACAAATCAAAGAAGTCCAAGACATTAGAAGGACCTGAAATAGAGAAGTTTTTGAACGAAGCTCCCGACGACGAGTGGCTTTGATAGTGGGGATTAGCGGTGCTTGTAGATGCGATGAATTGGACAATTTAAAAATAGAAAATATTCAAGACAAAGGAAAATATTTTCACGTAGTTTTGCCAGACACTAAAACCAAGAAATTGAGAAGTTTCACCATACTTGAAGAATGTTTTCCAGTCAACCCGATCAATTTGTGTAAAAAATACATGTTCTAGTCGCTTTTTTCTTTTTTTACAAAAATTGGAGGTGTACCATCCAGTGTGTGGAAATAAATACTTTGTCGAAGATACCTTCAAGAATTGCATTGTTTTTGAAATTGGAGGAACCAGCGCTCTACACCGGTCAATGCCTGAGAAGGTCTTCGGCGACTCTTTTGGCCAATGCAAAGGCTAACATGACTACTTTGAAGCGTCATGGAGGATAGAAGTTCTCGACGGTAGCAAAAGGATACCTATAAAAATCGGTGCATAACAAAAAATTTAAGGTTCTAATGCGTCGGCGTCTTCCAGCAGCTCCGATATGGGAGTGCCTGGTTCCAATGAACCAACGAATTTTACAATGACTTCAAATTCGAATAAACCGTTAGCGTTTTCCTTTAATTTCAATATCAATGTGAATTCTGCTTCTACACTGTTCAAAATTTCATGACCATTTTAACAACAAATTAACACCATACATGGTCTATATCGATACAAACCAAAATGGTGTTAAATATGGTTCGTTGGTCCAGTGTAAATTCAAATACTAAAATGGTGTAAATTTAACTTTCACACAGTATTAAAATAAATGTTACCTGGTGTAAATTGGACTCCTTTTCAGTGTTAAATATAATGTGTTTTTGGTTAAATTAAATCATAATACACAGAAAAAAAGGAGAAAAAGGAAACAGGAAGTTCCTTGACGCATTACAAGTATATTACCAATGGTATTATTCCAGAAAATTAAACATTCAACTCGCTAGAGATAATGTTTTTAGTGCGTTCCACCAACTTAAAATACTTCAAATATTGACAGCTGTTGCCACCTATTTAAGGTCTCTAGTATCGAACAACTTATAGTGTCACACCAAAGCAAAGGACTACCTGAGCTTATATACTCTTCATGTAAGTCAACAGAGGCGAGATTTAAGAACATCACGTGATCCACACCGCCTTTTCCGCGATCGGTACACACTATGCAACAAGGAATGCACGGCAAATTGTTTTAATCGTTTTAACAGAGTGCTTTAGTTTGAAGTAACTCGTACTTTACAAACAACATATTTAGTAAACTGAACCATACAGCGGGTTGGTTTCACTAAAGTTTTCTGGGTTAATTTAACCAATTTAAAAAAAATAAAATAACTATCTGGTTTAGTACCGTCAAAATAATCTTTGTTTATATTAACCTTCCCACAGTTGATTTAAATAAATACTTATGGGTCAACTAAATTAATGTAGTTAAATGAACTATTCCTTTTTTTCTGTGTAGGTGCACTTCTGAAATATTTTTAGATGAACACCGTTTTGGTGTTTGCTGAATAAAACATTTTCAACCATAATTCATGGTGTTATATTAAAACCAATTGGTGTTGGATTTTGACACCATTTTAAGATTACTCTTCACACCACAGATATTTTAAACAGTGTAATAGTAATACATAAATAGAATACTACTTTAAATATGAACGTGAGTTTTAATCCATAACTCACTAGTGAGTTATGGATTATAACACACTAGTGTGTTATTTGATAGTTTACTTGTCTAAAATGACATTAATAATGACAGTCATAACTGCAGTTGACATGACATGTGTTGGATAAAAACTATAAAACATCAAAACATTATTAAAAACTTTAAATCTTCCACTTTTAATAATTAATATAATAATATAATTAATATTAATAATATATGATCATATTTTTTAGTTTTTTTTATATTTTATAAAATATCGAAAACTAAATATAAAATATAATATGTTAGGGTGGGCTTATGTAGTAAATAAAATTGATCGGAATCTCTAAATTACAAGATTTCCGGGCCGGAAAGAGGGATAGACGTACTAACATGGCTTTCAAACTCGAAATATTATTTTCAACATTTTGCTTAGTTTCAGATAAAATCAAAAATCTCACAAGTTATAAAAAAATTATAATCACAATACCACCACAGGGTGTTCCTAAATAATACTGATTATAAGAAGTTTAGTAAATATTCGTTCTACAACTTAATGTATATTTTTCCTAAACAAGAAAAAACATAGTAATATTTTATTGTGTTTTATAACTGTTTTGTCTTAAAATTTTTGCCTTTTTTTGCTAAAATATTTAACCTGTTTTATATAAAAATTCTCTAAATATCCTTGCCTTAGTTATTTGCTTATAAAGTGCAAAATCAACCACGAAAGGAAATACAAACTTAACAGTAAGGGCAGGGAAATTATTAATTAATTTAAAATATGTACCCCAAACCAACGCCTTGTAGGAACTATAATTAGTTGGTAATTATGGAGAACATTTTGATAGGGATCAGCTTACAGGGCAATAAAAAATTATTGGAATAGTGCGACTTAAACATTATAAGAATTAAATTCATTAAACGTTATGGAAAAATGACATGCAATATCTTGATTTAAGGAGTTTATGTGATGTTTTAGATTTAGTTTTATTTTATAACAAAACTGGTTAATTTTATTTTATTGTCTTAAAATTTATATATTTAGATTGTTTATATTTTATTGGGTATGTCGACAATTATTTTAAACAAAAAATTAAAAAATTTTTACTTACTAAATTTTTACATAAGAGGTGTGTCCAGAAAATAACGGGAATTGTTAAATTTCGCGGGTTCGTAGGGTCCGGTCGTCATAAAATTTTCTTTATTATGTTGGTATACATGCCCCCGAAGTATGATAAAAACTTTAGCTGTTTTCATTGTTTACTTTGTCTGTGGCAGCCTCTAAGGTTAGACGTGTTTTATGAGCTCGGCGATTTTCCGTTCGTTAAAAGAAATGGATCAAAGAATTTGTATCCAATTTTGCTTAAAAATGAAATAAATTTTGGGAAATGTTAACAAAGGCCTATAGTGAGTCTGCTATAAGTAAAACAAGAGTTTACAAGTGGTATAAGAGTTTCCAAGATGGCCGTGAAGACGTTGAAGATGACGAAGGCTCCGAACGTACAAGCACATTAACAACCGATAAAAACATGGAAAAAGTGGAAGAAATGGTTATAAAGCATCAGAGAAGTCGCTGATGATGTTGGTATATCGATTGGCTCATCTCATGAAATTTTTTCGAATGTTTTGGGTATGAAACGCGTGGCAGCAAAATTTGTTCCTAAATTTTTAAATCTTGAACAACATTTTTGGCCAAAAACAATATCGTAATGATGCCCCAGCCTCCATATTCGCCAGACATGCCTCTGTCTGACTTTTTCCTATTCCCAAAAATAAAGAGAACCTTAAAGGGCAGTCGTTTTACAAGCATAGATGACATTTAAAGCGCATCGCTGAAAGAACTAAAGGCTATCCCAAAGATCGAGTTTTAGAAGTGTTTCGAGTATTGGAAAAGAGCTGGCACATGTGCATAATATCCAATGGGGACTATTTTGAAGGCGACAACATTAATGTAGACGAATAAATAAATATTTGTTTTAAAAAACGAAAATTCCCGATATTTTCTGAACACACCTCATATAACAAATTAATGGAGCAGTTTTTTAATCAAAAAAATCTTTCCAGTTTACGTTTGTACTTTCTATTTCTAATTTTATTATTTAAATTATTATAATAATTTTATATTAATATAAAACTAATATTTATATGAATTATACTTTTGTAAAGTATACTTTATTATAATGAATAGGGATACTCCTGTAAAAAGGTATTATTTTTAACTAAATTTGATTTTTTTGTAATTAAAAGTCTTTTTATTGAACTTTCTTAGGTACTTAACTCTTAATTAACAAAAAATATAACACCTTTTTAAAAATGCAAAAAAATAAATAACATTATTATTAAGGCGAAGTTTTCACCTTAATTTTCTTATCACGTTATGAATAAAATTTATTTAACGTCTTAAATACCGCCATAAACGTCACAGACGTTAAATAAACCCAAAACGAATGCGTTCAAAACGTCGGAGTTTTCTGTTTCAGCAACAGATGGGGACTTGAGCTTCTCACCTCTGCTCGGCGTCCTTTTAGGCGGCACATTAACCGTAGTCGTCGTGATAATGCTGGTAATAATTAGAATACGTAAATCAAAAGGCCACAAGCAAGATAACATCGAGCAGAAGGTATCGAGCGGCACCATGCAACACAACACGATGTCTTCGACAAAGCCCCTGCTACGCAGCACGTCCCCCAAAGACGCAGACGACCCGGACATCATACCAGCTAAATACGGTAATTAATTTTTTTAATTAACCCCTGCTAAATACAATGCTCTTAATTATTATTATCTTTTTAATAGCTTTGCGCGCTCCACCTAATGAGACTATTTATGTTGTTAGGAAATGTATTCTTTTTAAAGTATTTTAAAAGTAGATTCCAAAAAAGAAGATAAAAAATTGTTTATATGGGCGATGTAAGGATTGCAACCAAATATTTTTAAACCGATTTTTCTTTAATACGGTCGGTTTTAGACAATTTTTGTGTAAAATTAAATGGACACCTTTCTGCAGAATGATACCAACCCACACCCTGATGAAACTGAGAAAACAGGTATCAAATTTTTAAATAATTTTAAAATTATCTGTAAATTTTATGCCGATTTTGGACTTATGGTGGTTTAAGGAATATAATTTAATAATTTATTCAGTTCGAATTTTTGATATTATGTATAAAGGTAATGAAAAAAATAGGCTTTCGTTGGTTGGTTCCTTTCTGCCATTTATGAAAACTAATATCTGATTATAAGTCAAATGTATGTATAGAAAGAAAAACGACAATTATTTATTTTCAAACAATAAACAAAATATGATTACAATTAAAATAGTAATATCAGTTACTTTTGACTTTCTGCTTCTATTTGAAAGTCGGGAGTCACTGTGAATCCATCCACATCATCTTCCAACTCCTCCTCACCTTGTAAGCTACTAAAAAAAATGTTTACAATCCTGGGGTATCAGATGCTTTACGGATTTTATATCTTGTAGTTTAGGTATAGATATTTTTTGACTATTTGGCCACATCAGAATCAAAAATCTTTGAAAGATTTGGTAGTGGGTCTACCTACCTGCTTTTTTATGTCTATCTCAACATATGATGTACCTTTTTTTAAAAATATTGAAAATGGCTTGGTTTTATCAAGGCATATTTCACGCGCCTCTCCAGCTCACCTTTTCTTTATTGAAATCAAACTTTAGGTTACATATTAATTTTTTTTCAATTTCTGCTGTGCCGTAAAAATCTGCAGGACTCATGCGAGTAATCTTATTTTTTGTGCGGCATTCTTTCATAACTCTAATATAGTATCTGTTGATTTTTTAGAGCACATTCGACATCTGAAAAGTCAGAATCGTTTGGAAGAACAAAACAACACATTATTCTTGCTCGTATTTTGACTGTCAAAATTTGATATTTGATAAAATTTATTTTTTATTATTTTTTTGTATGATTTAATACTGTTTTGCAGAAAAGATCCAACCCACTTCGATCTATTCTACAGATTCCTATACACAATATTATTGAATGTTGGTTGGTTCAAAAATTAATAGATTTCACTACAATTGCATTGTGGCTATGACCTATTTTGCAGATAAATTTTACATGCTTAATTAGTTCACAGGCTAAAGATCTCGATTTTTTTAGTTTTGTGGATTGGTTCCTTTTTGCAGAAAGGCGTCCAAATGAGAGCGACGCCCTTTTTCTTCGTTAAGCCACCCTGTATACTTGTAGTAGATGCATAATGTGGAGGTACTGGAAAAGGTAGTATACAGCCAACTCTACAACTTTGTAATAGACAATAAGTTTATTTCTGATCTTCAATCTGGATTTAGGGTAGGGCATAGCACAACAACAGTTTTAACGAATATAACCAACGACATATTTTCATCTCTTGATGGTGGATTGGCAAGTGCACTTGTGCACTTGTATACAGTAGTATATTACTGGATTTTTCAAAAGCATTTAATACGCTGGACCATTCGCTTCTATGTGCTAAACTTAACTATTATGGTTTATATAAAACTTCTCTCTAAAAATTAATTAGGGCCGGTTTATCAATCTCTAGTTAAGTTCAAATTAGTCTATCTGACAGTTAAATTTCATATCGATCCATATCGATCTATGTATCGATCGTTGTGAGAACAATGGTATCCATGGAAATTATCTAACAGATAACTAACTGCAATTTTAACTGAACATTGATAAACCGGCCCTTAGTCAAAAATGACTAATTTAATGGTTATTAGTGGCTGCATTTTAACTTATACCATGGTTAACCATGGAATATCATGGTATCCCAAAATTTAACAGCATATTCTTATGTAAAATTGTCCCCTAAATCCGAAAATACCATCAAAAATTATGAGCAGTTTTTGAGATTTAGTCAATTCCATATTAAATGGAAAATTGACTATATCTTGTTATATTATTTTTCCTTACAAACTTAAGTTTTGTTGTTTTCTGGTTAAGTTTGGTTAAAGTTATGCTAATTTAGATTTAGAATTAGGTTAGTAAGGGTTAAGTGGAGTTTCTTAAATTTCCTATCATTACTATTTTATTTGAATAAGAACCGAATTTTCTTGAAAACGAATGAGTAGAATTTGACGCGAGAACATCTCTTAAAAAAATCGAAGCGAGTCAAATCACACTATCTTGGTGACCAATTGCGCTTTTTTGACTATTGTATATTTTGATGAAACCACTTATTTTGTCCATAATAATTATTATTATAATTGTCCATTTTACAACAATATAAGCCTGGTTTTAATATATTTTTAAGACAATTTTTGACGGAACATTATGAACCGTATTAAGACAATTTTAAAATGGTTTTTAATTAAACTGTATGTGACAAATCTGTTTTTTATATCCTGAATACTTTTTTGTCTAGGAAATTAATTTAGCCTTCTTTTATTTTTATTTTAGATCGAGAGAAAAATTTTAAAATATAAAAAAAACCTTGCCTACTTAATGTTTATGTAGTATTTTTGTTTTAACACCCATTATCGTATATGTTTCCATGACACCAAGTGATCTTTTAACTTTATGGTGCTTTAGTCACGGGCTTAGATTTAAGTTAGTTGACAGTTATCAAATGTCATACAATCTTTAAAATAAAGTTTCCTTCTTGTGAAATAATACCAGATGTGTAAATTATTGTATTATTTTATTACACAAATACAAAAGTATTAAATAGTTTCTCAACACCAATATTTAAAAAGTTTATTCCCTTTACTTTCACTATAAAAACTGCTTCTATTTCGGATTTAAACGGTTGCTAATCCATTTTCAAGGAATAAATTTTGCTGCGGTTACTCTATTTTCGTAAAGATGTCGCTTTAAACAAACATTTAATTTAAATAATTTTTTAGATAATATTAAGTATTTGTCGTAGAAAAACTTTCCTAGACACTTGTTTAGTTAAGCACTCGCTTAAGACTAAATTAAATTCGTGACTAAAATGGCGTTTATTAAACTTGATACATAATATACTATTATTTAATTACGTAAACCATATTTTTAAAAGTGGCATTTTAAATTATAATTTTATGTGATGGCAAAATATTTAATTAAAATAATTAATGCATTTTTCAACCTTCATTAATATATGAAATATATTTTGCTTTGCTTCATAAATTAGTTTAACTTGAAAATTATGGTAAATTTATGGAAAGTTAAATATATATTTTTTTGATCAAATTGTATTAACATAAATGTATTTTTAATTTTTGGCGAATGCACGGGGATAATTTAATTATAACAATTCATAAAAACTTACATATCTAAAAGATAAGTTAGTCAAAACCCTTAAAAAATATTTGAATATAATAAAAAAGTTAGAGAAAAAACAATTTATGTTTCCTTAAAAAACCTTATCCTTATTCTTTATCCTTATCCTTATTCTTATCCTTATATTTATCCAGAAAAATTAATATAGTAGTACCAAAAATGAATAGGTATACCTATATATAGGTACGTATTTCGGGATTTTTTTATAATGGCTCTAATTTTTTGTTTTATTTAATTTTATTTTTTTTTTATAAAAAATTCTTATTTTAAAATTATGACCATTTAAAAAAATGTAACACTGTATCCATTTTATTTTTGTTCCAACCCAGATATTTTTTGTAATCAAATTTTTTCGCACAGTGTAATTTGTTTAATTTAATATTTCAAATTAAGTTACTGGCTTGAAAAAATGATAATTTTATAAGTGAGTTAAGCAGTAAAGCCTATCTTAATCGCAAGAAAATGAGGTCGTTACGTTAAAATTTTGGTTGGTTTCAAGAGAGCAATCTGTAAAATCATCTTTCGTCAGTTAAATTAGCTATTCGCCAAAAGCTTTGCCGTTTATCCGCCCACTGCGTCGAATTCTGTGCGGCAAAGAAAAACATGAAAAAAATATATTAATGGTTATTATTATTTATTAAAATGGCGGATGATTCTCTCAAAAAAAAACTAAAAATAAAAATTCAAAAACTGAAATTTTACAGCTTGTGTCCGTACAGAAAAAGCCTATTTTCTGTACGCATTGCAAAAGTTATTAACTTTTTAAGGCGATTGGGACGTGATGTCCAAAATAATTCTGAAACTCCTTTTATTTAATATTATAGAGATTAGTCATAAAAAGCAACCATGTCGTTAAAAAACGATTGTTGATACTAATTTTTCCTTAAAAATGACTTTAAAAATCGATAAATTTTCTTATTATATTATGTTATAATATAAATAGTTTATTGTTATTGGTAGGTATATTATACCTATTAAATAGGCTTTTGAAGTTTTACAAAAGAAGTATATGCAAAGTTCTGAACATAACGAAATTCTTGAACAGTTAGTGTATTAAGTTTTATAAACGCCATTTTAGTCACTAATTTTAATTAGGTATGAGCGAGCGAGCGAGTGTTTTATTAAATGAGACTAGAAAAGTTTATAAACGAGTTGCATACTATACTTTTTTTACGATAAATACTTATTATAATCTAAAAATGATTTAAATATGTCTATAGGGCGAAATCTATAAAACAATAGAGTAACCACTCTTGAAAATCTGTATTACCGACGATCCGGTAATAATGGAATAACAACAGCTTTTTCACAGTGAAAGTGAATAAAGTGTTTATGGGCACTCCACCCGAAATTAAGATAAATCTGGTTTACTGTCGGAGAAATTTAAAAGTTCAGTACAATTCAAATATTGTGACTACTTCAGCCCGTGACTAAAACACTATAGAGCC